AACCAAGGATCACGCTATTGTCATAGAAACCCATGGTTTTGTATAAGGCATCGACGAGGGAAGAATTCTATGCACCGATGAGACGTCAATACATTAGTCATATTCCATGGAGGTGTTCGATGTGCCAGCATCATCTACATCGGCATTCATGTGACAGCATATCCTACGCCAGCATTATGACATCAACACTATTGACCTTAGCTCAGCATCACTCATGCGATCGGATAGACGCTTCCTATGACATGGCTGGGATGCGCCATGGCACATCGATAAGGCCGAGTCACCATCTTTTTTTTTCTCTTAACATACATAGTTCAAGAAGCTCGACTTTCCATAATAAGAGTGCTCCCTAACTTAACAGAGGAAAGTCAAGTTTTGCGAGTTCCCTCGAAAGGGGGCTAATAAGTTGCTTGTCAGACACACAAACCATATTACATCTTAAGTTTATCTATTAATATATAGATATAATTTTTACATAATAATTTTCTTCATAAGAATCATATCTCGCTCGATAAATGAATTGCTGTAGTTGGTGAAAGAGAATCATGCTGAAATCCGGAAGAGGTTGATCAATATATAGACATAGTTCTCGGATATAACTTACTCAAGAAGAATCATTTGTCGATAAATGAAGTATTGCAATTAGTGAGAGACGATCGTGGTGAATTTTGGGAGAGCTATATCAATATATAGACACAGTTCTTAAATATAACATGCTCCATAAGAATCATTTCTCGACAAATGTAAGTATTGCAATTGGTGAGAGACAATCTTAGCGAATTCGGGTTGAGCTCTATCAATACATAGATATAGTTTTGGTTGAGCTCTATCAATACATAGATATAGTTTTTGAATATAACTTACTCTATAAAAATTATTTATCAATAAATGAAGTGTTGTAACTGATGAGAGACGAATATGGTGAATTTTGAGAGTGCTATATCAATAATATATAGATATGATTTTTTGGATATAATTTGCTCCATAAAAATCATTTGAAACTTTGCATGCAAGTTATTCATGTTCACATGATCGATCTCAGATCTCAGATAATATATTTGTAAAGTCCCATCAGTTTATATTACTTCAGATAAAGATAAAATCATCGTTTCTCAACTCCATATGTGAGCATAAATGATATAATTAATTATGCTAAATCAATCATGTCAATCACCACCTTAATAGAAAATTCAATTCATATTCGAAAAATATTTTCGAGTTTTAGTTATCAATAATATATATACATACATATATTTTCTCTCTCCTATATTTCCTCTCTTAACTGTATCTCATGTACGGAAGGATCCATGGCATCTGTAACTATATTTCCTCTCCTATTAAATATTTTATTTAATAATAATGTAATCGTTCTCATATTCATAATTTATTATTATGAATTTCTTCATTTATTATGGTTTAAGTGATTTCAGTTTTTTTATTCATTATAAATAAAATCGTTATTGTTAAATTAAATATTTAATATCATTAAAATTCTTTATTATTGTCAAAACGTTACAAATTTGAATTAATTCTTGAACGTTCTGAGTTGGTGATAATAAATATTCTTGACGGAAGAACATCTATATAAACGAGGATTTTGGTCCCCAGGCTTAACATCTCTATGAAGTCAAAAGGATTTCCTACATCATTTAAAACGAGAGTTTTGAGTCGAGAAGTACCAAAGTTCAAGAAGAAATCGCTATAGAAATTATTGACAACAATGACCGGAGATACGTTATTTCGTTTCTATATTATAATGATTTAGAAACATAAATTGGTATCAAAGAATTCTTACACATCACCAAAGGCACTCTCTATCTTAATGTAACGAGAAAGAGTTGTATCTCTCAATTTAATTTCAGTTTGAATTCTTAGTAACTTTAACTCGGATTCGTTTAACTTATTTTTATACTTCAAACTTAAATTAGATTAATTTATTATATTTCAAAAAATAAAGATATCAACAATCAAAATCATATCTATTAATCCACATACGATTTAACTATTTCACTACAAGATCAGTGACAATGACTTTGAGTTATCCTAAAGGTCATCCTCGACACTTAACAAACCAAAAAATATCCTTCACTGATAAGATGGTGGAGCAAAGGCGGCGGAGCTCGAGCTTAGGTCGGTGAGGAAGAAGAGGAGAAAATAGGAAGGAGGAGAAGAAGAGCGTCATCGTCCCCTCTCATCGTCCTGCTCCTTGTACAGGAAGAGTCCATAGAATCCCCCCACCAAGACAGACCCCGCCATGAGCCAAACTAAAGCCGCCAAAGCCCGTGGCATCACCGAGGACGTTCTGCAGCTGAAAGCCAGTACGAGCGCGGCCGACAGCAGCCAAACAGCCATCTTCAACCTTGCCTTCTCGGCCGGGGGGCTTCCCGGAGCGAGCCGCTCGAACCTCCTGAGACAAAGGAAGAGGAACAGCAGGTCCGAACAGGAGAACAGTACGAAGACGAGCATTGATGGATCGCCACGAAACCTGTAGACGGATATGATGACGCTGATGACAAGGTATAGAATAACGGCCATTGGATCGAAGAGCCAGTTGCAGCGAGCGTTCCGGTCTTGAGCTACCGGTGGTGGAGGTGGCGATGGTCGCCTGTCGTCCATGGCAAGGGGAGGATTGGTTCCGGAGGAGGATGGTGATAATATATAGTGTCTGTTGTGGCGTACGGGGCTATCGTTATGACGAGGGTGATGACCTTTCTATTACATTCTCGAACGCCATGGATTCGACACGACAAATCCAGCGGCGTCTTCTTCTAGTTTGCTTTCGACATCGGATTAATATAGAATTGGATCGGTCTCGAAGTCGGTTCACACTTTTTGTCCGGTCAAATTGATCGTCAGCTTAATATATAGAAGCCACAAAAAACACCTGTTTGTACGAGCTGCAGGTTTTTGATCGTACTGATGGCTGAGCCTCATCCATGGAATGCAAGTTCATGAATCTTCCAGAGTTATGAAGACGTCAGATCGGTCACTCTCATACGGACGCCGTCCGACCTCCTCCGCTCATCTTAAGTTTCTCGATCTCGTGCCTTAGGAGCATGAATGAATGCTAGGAAATCTTGGAAGTATGAAACGATCATAATTAAGATGGTGCTTTGTTGACTTTGAATTGGTTCCTTGATAGCTAAGGAAGAATGGAGGGATGAGGATGGATAATGTTGGGGAGTGCTATATCAATAATATATATATATATATATATATATATTAGAAACTTAATGTAAGATATAAGATGGTTCGAGAAATTTCTACGTAAGTCCACGATAAAATAAAATTATATATTATATAAGAAATAACTCCTTTAGTTACCTTAAATCTGAGCCCAAAACCTATTGTTCACATAAAATTATTTATAGGAACAAATTGAGGATTTTTTTCTACTTGAATACCTAATCTAAATCCTAATTCTAATCCATCGAGAAGTTTCAATTTAATTATAATTTCATCTAAATAATTAGAACTACTGGTGGTTTAGTGGACGAAAAGACTTACACGTATAGTGTAGCCAAAGATGATAGATACATGGATGTCATAGCTTAGACCAAGGGAAAAAAGCAAGCAATTCACCAACATCCAGAAACATGGTGGAACGAACCTCCACAACTCTCTTCATCCACAGCTGATGGTAGTCATCTTCACCGTTTCTTGGGAATAAATTCCAAAGCTTTGATGTCTTCCTTGCACCTGCTACAGCGTATCAGCATCATCAAAGAATCGGACATGGAGGATAAGGCAATCCAAAGCAACCAATTCACGCACGAAGATGACAGAATTCACAGCACGTAGTTTGGAAGATGTGGCCCAAAACCTAGCTCGAGCTTTTGACCCTGTCTAGGTTTTGGGCCACGTTTCCGAGCTTATGTTCGTCTACCTCTAGACTTCGAATTCAATCAATGTGATTGAGGTAGCCTCGAGTCAAGACCCAGTCAAATCCAAATAGCTGGTGATGCAGAATGCGAAAACATGTAAGCTTTAGGATAAACAAGAATCTTGAGGTTGGCTTTCGGACTGGAAAGTTGCAGGCACCGGTGATCCTCATTTACATCTTACTGGTATTATCTTGTGGAATACAATTTTCGGCAAATGGATCCATTCATTCGTGTTATGAATGAGTTGGACCACTTCATGGTGGAGATTACCACCACCATCGCTCCTCCATCGATGCCATTCCATGCACGCTCACGCTTCCGCTAGCTTTTATGGCCATTTGATCTGTACCTGTACCTCGTAGCCCAGAACAAGAAGTGAAGAAAGTTCAAGGCACTGAGGACACACATGAGCCAGTAGAACTGCTCGAGGTGGTAGTGATTCAAGTTGCTGCCGGACAGCCATGGCTGGTGGCGGCCTCTGTCCGTCACTTTGTTCACGATGGAGACCAGCACCGAGCTGAGGTAGTATCCCATCGCCAGCGACGCCCACGACAGCGATGTCGCCAGCGACCTCATCCCCGCCGGCGCCTCGCTGAAGAAGAACTCGAGCAGGCCGGCCAGCGTGAACAGATCCGCGGAGCCGAGGAACAGGTACTGGAAGGCCACCCAGAAGAACGTGATCGGCAGGTGCTCGGCGGAGTCGAGCAGGCCGGCATCCCTCGCCACCCGCTTCCGCTTCACTTCGACCAGCGCCGCCACGGCCATCGCGACGACCGACAGCACCAGGCCGAAGCCTATTCTTTGCAGGTGAGATATGCCCATTTCGGTGTTGGTGACCTTGCGTGCGAAGGGAACGATGACGTGGTCGTATATCGGTGCCAGGAGCATGATGAAGACGACGGGGAAGACGGGGAGCGACGCCGGCGGTACGGTGAGCCCGTTGACCCGGGTGTCCATCGTGGCTGCTTGCTGGATCGAGAACGTCGAGAGCTGGGCCAAACAGCAGCTTAGCATTATGGTAGACAAGAATATGGGCAGGACTTTGAGGACTATCTTCACATCTTCGACTTCTACTACGGTGCACGCGAGTGCTCTGTGTATGGGCTTCCCCTCCGCTGCTCTGTTAAGGCATTTCAGTTCTTTATCGAGGCCTTCGGTACGTATCATGTCTTCCTTGCTGCTCTCTCCTTCCTTCCCCTCCATCTCGAGTGTCTTCACAGGGCTTGGCACCATGTCGATCACGGCATTCCTCGGGTTCTGATGACAGCTACGGTTCAAGACTGCAGCAAGCAGAACCTGTTAAAACGGAAACGAGTTAGGAGAAGGCCCAACCCGCTTGTGGTTTGTCCAAGCCTGAGAACTCGCAGCACCTTGGTTATGGTTGTCAGAGGACTCCCCGTCGGTATCTTGTTTCTGTAAGTTCTGGAGCCTGCAAGGAACACCGGGATGGAGAGCAGTATCGTGACGGTGGAGATCCCAAACCCCCACTGCCATCCCTTGTTGTCTTCCACCCATACGACGAAGGTCACCGCGATCAGGCCGCCGCAGGAGAGGCAGAACACGAAGTAGTTGAAGAAGGTGGATCGTGCCTTGCGTCCCTGGATGGTGCTCTCATCGAACTGCTCTGCGCCATGGGCAGGGAGGGATCCTTTAATCCCGCCGACGCCCAAGGCCGTGAGGTACAGGCCGGCGAAGAGCATTGCAGCCTTCCCGCCGGTGACCTCTTGGCATGGAGTCTGCGAAGCGTCCGAGATGTCGCAGCCAGGCGGCTTGAGGGCCGCGGACTTGGCTTGCACGGTCAGGATGACGAGTCCCTGTAGACGTCAAATCAAGAAAGCATTGGCAATTAAACTTTGCCCATTACAGAGACCCAGGACGAGCAGCATATGGTTTAGGTTAATTGGGCCTCGGGGGAGTTCAGCCAAGAAGTCTGCAACTCTGGATCCAATCAAAGCTTCCGACGGTATTAGAACAATCATGAGCTCAAATGGATGCTTGTCTAGTCGCTATCGTGCAACAAGTTATCCCAACTCTCAAGTACATGAGCTGGTGTTGATACACTGTGCAAGTGTAACCCACCAACAAGACAAGGAAGGGGACTATGAGAGATCATCAAGCAGACTCTTTGTACTAACCAACGACCATCTACAACGATGAAATCTATGATTAGGTTGTAGGAGAGTGAGAGTCAGTGGCAGAGACTTTTCTTGGAACCCACACTTGCTAGCAGCAGCAACAGCAGCAGAGTTATGATCACAGTGCCAAAGCAATGCGAGCCCTCCGCAGGCTGGGATTGCGGCTGAGGTGCTTTATGTAACTTCCAAGGGATCCTTTTCATAGGAAAGGCACGTGAATCAAGCTTCTCGGGTAAGTAAATGCTCAGACCTTACCTCAGCTGAATGCCATCCTTGAAGTCAGCTAGCTCAAGATTTTTTTTCTCCTCTCTGCACTTTTTCTGATGTAAAGGGAAAAGTGTAAAGATCCAGAGAGAGAGAGAGAGAGAGAGCGCGTTCTTACGGCATCCCTCCAGGAACCAATCAACCAAACCACTCATTACCCCCGTGATCCAGCTTCCTATCAGAATGTGTTCTGATAGCAGCAGCATAATTCATAAATAAATAAATAAAAAAATAAATATTTCTCACTCACAATTGTCCTAACAAAAGAGTTATTGGCCAGAATCCATTACGTGCATGAGCTTTTTGTGTGATCCTACTTTTTCTAGGCTTATTGGCGGACAGCGTGCAGTCCAGGGTTCTAAGAGACTTGCAGCATCACCACCATGGCTTGTCCCAATCTTGACGGTCACAAACCCTGTTTTGTTTCAGATGGCTGATGTTGAGATCCAAAGAGGACAAGCTTGAACGCTTGCAGCATGTCTCTTTGAACCTAAAAAAGGAAGAAAAAGGGAAATTGCTTGCTATCACGGACGAGCTACTCAATTTCCCATCCACTAGCTCATATTTCTCAGTCACCAGAACATGCAGGCTTCTCTCATTCGTTCCTTTTTGACTCGGTAAAAGACCAGCATTTAGAAAGCCATTGCAATATTCCAAGTAATCTCACATCGGATGCTGGTCATGAGAGGATAACATATATATATATTTCCAGATTAATGCAAATATTCTTGTGTGCATGATGCACACATGCACCAAAAAGACTAGTAGAACGCATGGAACATGAAATTGTGTGTATTCCTTCCCAAGAGGTTAACTATGCATGCTACACAGAAGAATAAGAAACAAGTTAAGCATGTCTTTGTGTGGCCACAGTAATGCTACTTGTCTTTATTTCTCTAGAGCGAACAAAAGGACCACCATATCTTAATTACAAGGCCTCTATGATTCCCTTTGACCCATTCCATGGCTGTGGAACCAGATCAGTGCAACATCTCATGATCCCTTGGTATCACACTTGGTTTCTAGCTTACGCTTCGGGGAAGCAAATCATGAAGAGGCTATGTGAAGCACATGGGACTAAAGAGATGGATCAGTCAATGAGGCCCTCTGATATGTCACACAAAAACTGCCATGGTCAGAAGAGAATTCCTAAACGCACACACTCCATGTACCACAGAAGCATGATCTACTTGTAGGTCAGGGCTCAAATCTGATCCATGCAAAAAGTTTAGGTTTTGTTTGATTGTGATCCAACTCCTACTTGTGAACCAAAACATCACATGTTCTGCTGATGCTCAATCAGTAGTTTGTGCATACGAAGTTTTTGTCTGCTTATCGCGAATTATAGAGTAAGCATGCTGAAAAACCAAAAGAGGAAGAGAACTCATGGATGGAGGATGCACTCACCAGGAACTCCAGAAGAGCACTTATCAGGTAGATATGATATGTAGTGAAGAAGGCATCAGACAAGAAGCCCCCAAGTAGGGCCAGGAG